CTAACACCTATTAGCGACATTATAACACATTTAAAAGAAGCAGCTATCCAATTATCTCACGGTTTATATTTCCCTTTCAAAATTCGAAACGACGAATGGTTAGCACTAGAAGAATATATTAAAATAACTGCATACCGTGAAGGATCAATCATATTTACTGTATTGCGATTCCCACTAATCTCACAACCAGTATACGATATAATAAAGGTAACCCCATTACCTACGTACGATCATAAAAATATATTTACGCACGCGGAAATAAACCACGAAATAATCGCAGTTAATAGAGAAGGGTTAACGTATATCATAATAACGGAGGACGATTTAAAAAAGTGTATCCAAAGAAATTCCAGATACATATCTGAGAAAACGCAACCAATACACCGTATTAATCCAAACGCACCGTGCGAAATACAAATGTACTTGCAACCACAAAACCAAAAAGAGGCTTGCAAAAGTAAACATGTAATTGCGACAGAAACGATATGGATACCGTTGCAACAGCCACGTACTTGGCTATACTCAACTGTACGCGAACAATCAATAATAATTCAATGCGAAAATTGTAACGAGATTAGAAAAGTAATTAAAGGAACAGGGCAAATTACCCTTCAAAATAAATGTAAATTAATAACAACAGAAATGACGATCCAACCAAAAGAAGTCATACAAGGTAACGAAATAGAAACGTATTTACCGGAAATTAATATTACATTTATACGGGACAATACAGACGTACTAAACACGAAACAACAAAACATCGTACAACATTCAGAATTAACAGAATTAAAAAATAAATTAAAGAATATAAACAACGATTTGCAAAACACTAACGACAAATTCTTTACGCAAAAACAATTCATATATCCTATGGCGACTAGTGTCATCATATAGTTATTCGTCATGCATAATATGACTACAGATAAGTATAAATAACATTGATGAAATGCAATCTGTGTGTAAAATTAATGCATGTCTTATGAATAATTTATAAATATACATTTATTTTTCAGTGGAAGTAGAAGAATTTTTCAAGCTGTTGATAAGATTTTGACAAAGCCTGTGGCATCATGTTTATTGCAAATCAACATATTATAGTTAATTCTTATTTCGATGCGAATGCATTGCTTGAAATAGATGAAGCATATTTCAATATTGTTAATAAATATAATAGATCTGTTATATTGTATTTTTCCATCTGTCAGAATGCTATTTGGTATATATATTTGACAGAAGAAATTTAAATTAAAACTGATATTATTCATTATTTTGTTTTTTTAGTATCAATACAAGGATTGGTTTACAATAGACATGTTGTCGCAGACTTTGTCAAAATCTAAACAGTTTGAAAAATTTTTCTAGTTCCATTGAAAAATAAATGTATTTATAACATTTATAGCACAAGCATATAATAATATATTTTTATTTTAATAATAATAATTTTTTAAAAAAAAAGAATGTACAAATAGATATTGTTCAATAGAAATCAAAGAAATAAAAGGGTTGCTTTTTATAATTCAGAAATATAATAGATATATTAAGGCGGCGGTAGGACAGGTAAAGCTAGGTGAAATAAGCAAGCCGTGCGGGTATGTGTATATATATTTGCGCGCACGTACAATATATGCCCGTAGTAACAGCCCTGCCGTTACATCACCCCCCCCCCTTTTAGATGGTGGCGGCACGGGGTCATAGGCGGCTGCTGCGCAGGGTGCCATCCCTGTTGAACCGGAGGACCCAAAGGCCCTCCGGGGTCCAGGCGCGGTGGCGGCGTACATGGTGCACCGCATGGGACTCGGATGGTGGTCCCCGGAGCCACCTGGACGGTGATAGGTGCCGCTGGATGAGCGCCCACGGCCCTTAGTGGTGGCGGTGCTGGCTGGTCCCGGGCGGTGGCGGCGCACCTTGGTTGTGCTGGCGGTGGTTGTGGTGCCGCGGTGTCGGCGGCCGCTGGGCACGTGGTTGGTACCGGCCAGTTGGCCCGCGGGGCCTGTTGTCGGGCACGTGCCCGCCCGCGCTGGTCCGGTGGTGGCGGTGGCGGTGTGGGTCGTGGTGCGCTGGCGGGCGCGACCCAGGTCCTAGTGGCCGGCCTTGCGCCCGACGTCGGTCCGGTGGATCCGCCGGTCCTGTTGTTTGCGACGCCCCGCTGGATCGCGGTTGCGACGCGGGGCGCCGGTCGTCGCCGGTGGTCGGGTGGATCCGGCGACCGTGGCGGCGTGACGGGTGTTGGCCCGGGGCCGTCGGAAAATTCGCCTTCGTCCAAACAGGTCTATCAGCTTCTGGCGCTCGGTTTCTGTCGGCATGGTGCTGACCGTTAGTCGACTGATTTTCCGGTTGTCCGGCGCGTGGCCTTTTATACGAGTGGTTGGAATGCCTGGCATGCGGTATGCGCGGTTTTTCGGCTGGTCCTGGAGCGTTATCGGACTGGTCCCGCCCTCGGTCGCGTATTGCGAGTTTGGGGGCTCCGGACCGGTAACCGCGAGTGATCGGTGTCCGGGGTCGATACTCGCACCGTTACCGTGTGTTGCGACCGTGTCTGTTCGTACCGACGCTCGCGATCGGTAAGCGCGAATCCCCCAGGGTCGATATGAGAGGTTTCGCGGGTATCGATGCCCGTGATTGATCACCGGGATGTTATCGTGCGTTATCGGCCGTCGCGATCGGTAATTGCCGGGTGACGGTGGTTTTCCCGCTGGTGGTGAATGTACGGCGGATTCCGGTTGCCAGGCGTTAGTTTTCGGTCTCAGGTTGGTCCGGGTGTGCCTTGATGTCCTGCAGGTGGACATGTCGGTGCCAGCGTCCGCGTTGGTCCCGGAGGTCGACGATAACCGGAGAGATTATTTTCCGCCTCTCCATGGGCCCCACGAATTTCCGGGCCAATTTGGCGTTAAACGTCTTCGCTTTGTCGGAGAGGGTGTGGTTCTTCTTCCAGACGAGCTCGCCTATTTTTGGCCTCCCATCCCGCCGCCGCAGATTATAATGTCGTTCTTGGCGTTGGAATGCCTACGCTAAGCATACTCGTACGAGCTCGTATGCCTCTTGTAGCCGCCGGTGGGTCGTGTCCGGTGGTGCTGCGGTTCCCGGTTGGCGTCGGTCTTCCGGATGCGGTCTGGTGAGTTCTCTCCCGTGGTTGAGGTAGGCAGGGGTGTGCCTCGTGGCCTCGCTTCATGCGGTGTTGAACGCGTGTTGAAAAGCGGTGATGTGCTCGTCTCACGTCTTGTGGTTCCGCCCCACGTATTGTGCCACCATCGTTTTGATGGTCCGGTTGGCCCGCTCCACCGGGTTGCACTGCGGCGTGTAGGGCGGCGAGGTGCGGTGTTGGATCCCGAACGTGTTCAGCAGTTTTTCCAGCTGCTTGGATTTTAGCTGGGTCCCGTTGTCTGATATGACCCACTGTGGGCACCCGTGGCGGTACACGACCTGGTCAACGAAGGCTCTTGTGACGTTAGCTGCGGTGGCCTTCCGCAGAGGCGTGACCTCTAGCCACTTCGTGAACCGATCTTGCATCGTGAATAACCACGTATGCCCTTGGTTGGAGCGTGGCAGTGGTCCCACCAAGTCGATCGAGACCTGCTGCCATGGTGCGGCGACCGGAGCGGTGTAAACGTGCCGGCGGGTTGTTGTTGCGATACTTTATGGGCCAAGCAGGTCGCACAGGAGCGTACGTATCGGGCGATTTCCCGGAGCATCCCCGGCCAGTAGTACTGCTGGGCGATGCGCGTCATGGTCTTGGCAGTTCCCAGGTGGCCGGCGGCGGGGTCATCGTGCCAGCGCTTCAGCAGCGCGGGTCGTTCGGTTGTGGGCACGCACTGTTTCCATTGTTTGTCCGCGGGTATCTCCCGGAAGTCCAGGTCGTGTAGTATGTGCCTGTACAAGTACCCGTCGCGTATCCGGTAGTCCGGCCGGTCGGCTGGTCGAGTCTGGACGTCGTGGCTGATTCGGCGATACCATGCGCACGATGGTGTTTGTCGTGCTGCAGCGACCTCGGGTTCGCGGAAGAGCGCGTCGGCTACTTGATTTTGAGTGCCTCGCCGGTATTTGATTTCCAAATCGTATTGCTGGAGTTCGATCATCCAGCGGGCCAGTCGGCCGGTTGGGGCCTCCAAGCGTTGGAGCCACCGGAGGGACTGGTGGTCGGTGAGTACAGTGAACCGGTACCCCTCTAGGTAGTCCTGCATTCGGCGTATCCCCCATACCACGGCGAGGCACTCTAGTTCGGTCGCACTATAGTTCCGCTCGGCGTGGTTCAGCGTTCGGCTGGCGTAAGCAATAGTAGGGGAGTATGGCCGGTTCTAACCCACCTTGCTTTGGAAACTCCTCGTAAGAGTGAGAGAGTAAACATGCGGATAAAGTGAGAAACTTAGATATCTGAGGGAGGCATGTCGGGCAGGGGGGAAGAAAAGGGGGAGTACGTATGGTGAGAGGAAGCGGGGTTGAGGGGGGGTCGGAGAAGCCACGGAGCTCGAGCTGGGCGAGAGGGGTGAGGGGTAGGGGGGTGATGAAATCGGGTCGAGAGATCGCGTTATCGCGTCAGATGCGCTAAGGACGCGAGACGCGGTCTACGCTTTATCTCCGACCTTGGGAGTCGCGATGACCCGTGACACGTAAATACGATAAATCGAAGACGACGATATGAGAGAATATCGCGGGCGGCGAACCTCGGCGCGATACGAGAAACGCTTGTCATCGCTGAGCGGATCGACTCGTAGCAGTCGTCGCTTTATCTCTGACCCGAGGACCCGGGGGAGTCGCGATGAACCGTGACACGTAAATACGCAAAATTGAAAATGATTAGATGGTAAAATATCGCGGGCGAACCTCGGCGCGATACGAGACTCGTCGCGCGTACCGCGTGGATCTAGAAATAGATCGGTGGATAGGTCGACGTCGAGGTTATCGCTCGAATAGACGGAAGTCGAATAAAGAGAGGTTTTCGAAGGAGAGCGTTTTTTTTTGTAACAGTACAGAGATACAAAGGCGCGCTTTATAATATAATATTAATAGATGTGCTGTATGGAGGGATGCGTTGTTTTAATATATTAGGAGATGCGGGCGTCGTTTTATCTCTATTCGATACCCGGAGCGCGGGGACCGGGGGTTTGCGATTTGTCATTTTTGCTACTATAAAAGGATCGCGACGATTATAAAATATTAGTTTATTCTAAAACGAGGGATTTTCGTGGTTCGAGATCGAGACGGCTTTTGCTAGACGCGTGTTAACCGGAGCGATTGTTAATTTCGATTACATCGAACCTCTGCGATTTCTCGAGGATGCCGAGGACACCGTGCTCGATCGAGTACGCGATGTTATGGGGAGGTACAACAGCGTTAAGGTTAATACCGCTTTCAACGGCGAGTTCGTCTCGGGCGACAAGATCGCCGTTAAGACCGTCGCCACGAAGAATCATCCGCTTCTACCTACGTCCGATTTGCGAGAATGGTACGGGAGGCGCGTGGTCGAAGCTATTCTAGCTTCGCTGGAGGAGTTTCAGGAGCGCGATAGCGGATGGGCGTTATCACGGATACTAAATCTAATGGTGAACGTAAACAGGTATAATCTTATGCGCGCCGGATGTCACGTCGAGATACCGCGAGAGATCAAGTTGAACAGAGCGGTGATTAATGTACGATCTACGGATAACGCGTGTTTCGCGTGGGCGGTAGTCGCCGCTCTATATTCGGTCGAAAGACACGCGGAAAGAAGCTCGCGGTACCCTCACTACTCAACGGTGTTGAATCTGGAGGGCGTCGAGTTTCCCATGAGTTTGAACGGAATCACCAGATTCGAGCGTTTTAACGATATATCTATCAATGTGTATACCGTTCTGGATAAGAAGAACAAGAAAGGCGGCCGCGGTATCGCTCCTCTGCGTCTCACCAACGACAAGAAGGAAAGACACGTCAATCTGTTGTATCTGAGCGATACGACGCGACGAGACAACGCGGCGCACTTCGCGTGTATCGGAGATCTGTCCCGTCTCGTCGGCTCGCAATTGAGCGCTCGGCAACATAAAGCGCACATATGCGATCGGTAAGCATGAAACTAATAAGAAAGAAGAAATTTATTACACATTTTAAATATTGTACGCGATGTAAAAATAAGTGTTATGTTGTAGATTCATGCATTATCTTCGAACGAGCAAAAATTTATCGGCTCATAGCGCGGACTGCGGAAGAATGAATGAGTGCGCTATCGTTCTTCCTACCGAAGACGACAAGTAGTTAAGTTTTCGCAACCATAATAGAAAGGAGCGACTTCCGTTCGTGGTGTACGCCGATCTGAAATGCGCGCTAGAGAAGAAGGGGGAGAAGAGAACATCGAACACATCCATCGTTCAACATCATAAGGTCTATAGCGCGGGATATTACGCGCGATGCGCGTTCGACGACGCTAAATCGATGTACAGAGCTTATCGCGGTGAGAATTGCGTATCGTGGTTCGTTCGGGAACTGTACGATCTGGCAATTAGCGCGAGGAATATTCTCGACGCCTATGTGCCTATGACGGATCTTACGCCGGATAAATAGGAGAGATTCAAGAACGCGACGCATTGTCACGTGTGCGAGAGACCGTTCGAACCGGAAGATACTCGCGTACGCAATCACAGTTATCTGACCGGACGATACAGAGGTCCCGCGCATTCGAATTGTAATTTAAATTATAAAGAAGCGTACGTCATTCCTATATTCTTTCATAATTTATCGGACTACGACGCGCATTTCATTATCAGATATGTGGCTAACGCTTTTCCCGGTAGCGTCGAATTGTTGCCGTTGACGAAAGAAACGTACATCTCCTTCACGAAGAACATCGAACACGCATCGAACGAGGGACGGTTCAGAAGACGCGTGAAATTGCGTTTCGTGGATTCCTTCAAGTTTCTAAGCGCGAGTCTCGAAAAATTAGCGTTGTATTTCGACAAGAGCGAGCTGACGATCACGCGTTCTGAATTTTCCTATCTCGACGACGCCGATTTCGAGCTCCTTACGCGAAAAGGTGTATTTTCGTACGAATACGTCGACAGCGTTGATAAGTTGCGGGAGACTCGTCTACCGCCGCGCGAGGCGTTCTACAGTTCGTTGACCGGTGATATCGTATCCGCTAGCGATTACGCGCGCGCGATAAGAGTTTGGGAGCGGTTTCGCGTCGAGACGTTGGGTGACTATAGCGATCTGTATCTGAAAACCGATGTTCTTCTATTAGCCGATGTCTTCGAAAATTTTCGCGACGCGTGTGCAAAGAGTTATTTTTAGATCCCGCGCACTATTACACGTTACCCGGATACACGTGAGATGCTATGTTAAAACATACGGGTGTTCGATTCGAGCTGTTAACCGACATCGATATGATAATGTTTGTGGAACGCGGAATACGCGGCGGGCTAAGTCAATGTTCCAATAGATACGCGCGCGCTAATAACAAGTACGTACAATCGTACAATCCCTCGGAACCACCGTCGTATCTTATGTATTTCGATGTAAATAATCTGTACGGATGGGCGATGTGTCAATCGTTGCCTTACGAAGATTTTCAATGGGTCGACGATGTTACGAGCATCAACCTAATGTCCATAACATCGAACTCGCCTATCGGTTATATTCTAGAAGTCGACCTTGCGTATCCGATCGACCTTCATGACTCGCACGGTGACTTACCGTTTTGCCCGACGCACGATAAGCCGCCGGGAAAACGACAGGATAAACTTCTCGCCACGTTGTACGATAAGCATCATTACGTGATGTATTATCGTAATTTACAACAATGCTTTCAACACGGATTACGCGT